CACCTTGAATAAGGGGGGCTTGGTCCCCAGCACTCACGAAAGCCCCCTCTCCTCCTGATCTTGATAAACTCTTCTTTGACTTCTCTATTTGTCTAGGACACCAGCCTCCCTCCCCGCCTGATTGTTACAACTGACTCAGAGACGAGGGAACTTCTCCAGTAAAAGCCAGAGAGTGACTATTTTAGGCTGGGGCGGGGGGGGGGGGGCGCTGCCACTCAATTCCTGTGTGTGACAACCACTCAACTCTTCTGTTGTAGTTGCCAAAGCAGCCACAGACAAGACATAAAGAGATCAGCGTGGTTGTGTTCCAATGAAACTTTACTTGCGGACACTGACATTTGAATTTCATAAGGTTTTCATGTTCACAAAATATTCTTGTTTTTTAAAAACCATTTAGAAACATCAACATTCTTAGCTTGTATGCTACACCAAAAACAGGAGGTAGGCTGTATTTGGCCCAGTGGCCAAAGTTTGCTGACCCCTGAACTTGACCATTGAGAATAAAGGCTGTTGGGATTATCTCATGGGACTCTAGCAATTAAAAGAAAAAAAAAAGTAGAAAAAGAATAACAAGCTAAAACTAAGGAAAGGAACAGGATGTGATTAATGATAATAAAAGAAAGAGTAATGAGTAAGAGAGGAAATTACTCAGCAGAATTGATAATCAAATCCAGTGTCTGGTTCTTTGGGGCAGTGGAGGTGGAGAGGTGGGAAACAGCACAATAGACATACACATGGTAAGTTCAATTTTTAAAAAGGAAAATATAAACACACAAAGGAAGGTATTTCCATTATTATCAAAATGCCAATGAGACATAAGAACTGGGAGTTACACACGTCTAAAATATATTTGAAGGTCTTCCAAAAAGAGATAATTTTTCTAGGAAACTATAAACTATCAAAAAAGGAGGGGAAAAAATCTAAAGTGACTTGTCAGTCTTGGAAAGAGTGAAAGCACTGACCAAGTTTAGCAAACCCCACCCCCACCAGCACCGGCACCGTGTCATTCTAGATGAGCTCCACCACTCTTCAGGGGGGCCAGATGATTGATCTGAACATGAATGTGAGACGTTACCTGAATTTGACACTCCAGGCAAGTGAAGTGGGGCACAGATATTAATCTGTGTGCTATTTAATTTCTTCTAGAATAAGGAAGATAGAAAGCTTCTAAATCCTTTTAAATAAGAGAACCAAAGAACCTCTCTGAAGATTACAGATGCATACATTTTCAAAAATTCACCAAAGGGTGGGCTATTCTATGAACATAAAATAGACTGTCCTTATTTTTCAAAATGACTTAGTATATTGACAAGTGAAAAGAACAGGAACATATGATGGTAAAGGCTGAAAAATTATTTCATAAATTTTTAAAATCCTACATTATTTTTTTTCCAGCTTGCTTGACTGCTTGGTTTAATTTCTTATCTAAGACATGAAGTTAAGGCCATGAAAGTTTTTCCTCATTTCAGCCCATCCATGAGATGTCCCATGAGATGCCATCACTGCCACTCATCTCTAAATAGTTTGCACTTGCTTTGATTTCTTTAGTTATAACTTGAGGTGTGTGTGTGGGGGGGTTCTTTTTGCTTGTTTTTTAAAATTCCAAGTGGATAGGATTTTTGGCTCTTAGTAACTCCAGTTTTTAATTACATTATAGTCAAAGAATGTGGCCTGTGATATTTCTACATTTTAGAATCTGGTGAGATTTTCTTTCTGGCATAAAACATGGTTAATTTTGTGATTGTTCCAAAGAGGGTTTGTTGGCACGAAGCTCATTTTCAGCTGATGGATCAAGTCTAATAGTCTAAATAGCTAGATCCAAGTTGAGTTGATCATCACATTCTGAGATAAGGATTAACATATCCTGCTGTGATTGGGATTACTTTATTTCTCACTGTATTCTAAAAACTTCCAAGCTACCTTTCAAAGCTATGTTGTGAGCCAAATAAAGGTACATAACTATGTTATCTTTTTGACAAATGATCCCTTTCATAAATTGATGCTTTTTACCTTGCATTGTTATCTTGATAGACAATACTACCACCATTTGGTTTCCTTCTGCTAACATTTTGCTGATAAATTTTTCCATCTGTTTAGTCTCAGCCTTTTGTGTCATTTACTGTAAGTGGTGTCTTGTAATCAGCATATACACATATCTGTGGTGATGTTATAATTCAACTTCAAAATGTCCATAAATGGCAGAATTTAACCCATTCGCATTTACTGTGATTAACCATATGTTCAAACTTCTGCCATCTTATAGTTTCCTGTTTTTCTTTTTCTTTCTTTTCCCGATGTTTTCTGGATCAAGTGAGGTGTTCTGGTAAGCAACAACACAGAGAATTCAGTTGTTCCCAGACACTGTTTTCCACAGCGACACTACATGGCCACAATAGCCACAGGAACATGGCTTGCTGGTCTACCAGAGCCTCCAGTTCACTCTCCACAAGGCCATAAACAGGACTTACCCATCGGACTAAGTGCCTGTGGATCTTGACCTCATCTCAGAAAGAGGAGTGGGGACACACAGGGATGGAAGACTGCTAGGGCTAAGAAAGACATTTTGGGGACAGACAGGATGAAGGCTCATGAAGACTGACTTAATCAGAGTTGTTACCTTACTTTGGTACTCCAGGCAAGTCAAGTGGGACCCAGAAATCAGACATGAAAGAAAAACAGTACCAAGCAATATGAATAGGTTTATTTGCGAACCTAAATACAACCACCCCCGTCTGGGGACCTCATTTCAATTTTACAGGAAGAACTGCCTCCTCTGTAGCCAAGAGACGGCCTTAGTTGCAGATCTAGTGTTTCCATTCATGTAGCCAATTCTTTCTACTTCCAGCCAGCACCCTCTGAAGAGGCCGCTGTCCTCACCTACAGACTTTAATACACTGTTCACGTAACTGTTCTTTTAAGCACATTAAATCATCACACAGCTTACCCACTGAGCCCAGCATAACACATGCATGTGGATCTTTCCATTTTATACCAGTGAATTTTCCTTTCTTCACAACACAGCATAACATTATTTTTTCTTCCATTTATCATACCCATCACCTTCTACTCATTCCACTGACCCACGACCGTATAAAACTCTTAGGCACCCCTCTGCCTACGGCCCCGCTCAATGAGTAACTGTGTGGCTGGATCAGAAGGCGTTCCTCAGCCAGCGCTCTTTACCTGTGAGAGCTGGAAACTTAAGGAAAGCTGCTTTCCTAGAAAAATGTATACACCACATATACACACAATTTTGCACACAATTTAATAAGGTATTCTAGATCTCCCAAACTCTCTGAACACAACCCTCCCACCATAATTCATGACGCAGAGAGGACCTGGATCAGGGCCCACAGAGGACTGGCGGGGAGGGACAGTCAGTCTCCGAGTGAGCCATTTCCAGCAGCACCAGGAAGTGTAACTGGCAGACTACACATAAAACAGCCTACAAAATGCACACATTCAGCTAAAAATACGAGAAATCTATATATACTGTTACTCTAAAAATGTATTTTATTTGCATATTCCTAAATCTGAACAATAAAACAGCTTTGGTATAGTAGTCATCCTCCATTGAGATGCACGCCAAGTTCTTCCTGGCAAGTACAAACACAATGCCCTAGGAGCTCTGGATTTGTTCCTGTGTCCTTTGATACTTCAAAATATAGGAATAACCAACAAAACAGTAATTAGTAAATTCTAATTTACGTACGATCATAAGATTATACTAACTTTGTACGCTGGGGTGGTAACAAAGGCACCCAAGCAAGGCCTGCTTGCCCCTTAGTGGTTTGCATAAACTTGGCTCAAAACTCCTTAAGCTCCACAGCCTATACAAACGTGAAGCTCTCCCACACTTCCGTGTCTTCCTTGGAGCTCACTGTCTCATGACCACCCTGCCCTGGCTCTCACATTTATTTACGTGGGGTACTCATGCTTTGCCCATTTCAGACTGGACACGGCATTCAGGCCTTCCACCAGCTTCAGTAAGAAATCCACTCGCCCCAAGCATCCCTCGACTTGGGGGAAAGTCCGTGGCCGTTAAGGCTTCCTACACGAGAGCCCACGACACGTTTCACCACCCCAGCCCACTGGCTCCCTCCCCACTTCCCTTCGAAGTCTGCCCTTTGTTTTCTTGTCTCAGATGGGACTGGGAGATTCAGTGGCGTAATGCAGCCCTCTCCAGGCCCCAGCCCCAATTTTAGATGCCCAAAGCCATCGCAGTGCTCAGTGCAACAAAAAGAACTCCAAATAACATGACTTGTCTTTCTTAACACATTAACTGCCATGTGAGTTGTATATAACTCACGCTAGTTTTGAGCCTGGGGCCTCGGGAAGCACATGTAACTCACTTATCTTTCACCTTGGGAGCTGAGTGAACTACTTTTCAAGTTGCATATAACTCACATACAGAAAACAATAAAAAATAACCAATTTTTCATCAAATTAGGATCATTTTGTTTTTGAAGTTTTTATTCTATTTTCATAATAAAACACCATGGCCCCAAGGAAAAAATTTTTGCTTCTAGTGTGGCAGTCAACATGTTAATAGGCAAATGGGAGTAGTGATTTTTACCATATTACTAAATGCTAGGCACCGTATACATGTTTATGCTGTTTAGTTCTCCCAATTATTCCACAAGTTAGGTATTTTCAAAACCATTTTATAGATGAGCAACTTGAGAGTCAGAAAAATTTAAAAACTGCATTAGGTCAGACCAAGTGCTATGTATCATCTTCATTTTTCTTTTTTTATCTCGAACCCACATACTTCAGCTTAGCTCTGCCATTTACATTCAGCTCTTGCCCACAGTAGTATCAACCTTTCTCACCTCTTCCCTTGTTTGATTTTACCGGAGTACTTATCCCATCTGCCTCTGATATGTGCTTTCCATTCACCTATTTTTCTCAAATTCTTGAGAACAACAGTGAATCATACAGAAGGACTGCTTGATAAATACTTTAAATTTTGTGGAGTAGAACCAAGAGTTAGAAGGTACCTTGGAAGGCCTATGTGTCCAAGCTCACGCAAGACAAAGGAATCCCTCTACAACTTCCAAGATGGCCTGACGAGCTGTGCCTGCATCCTCACATGGCGTGTCTGCACGCTGGGCTCTGGTGTGAAGAGTTCTTCCTATCTGAAAGATGCAATTTGCCATTTATTCAGGCTCCTGCATTAGAAACCGTGAGGTCATTCTTGAGTTCTAAATCCCAGCAGGCACTAGGAGTGACCACATGACAGGTGACCTCCTTCCCACCCCGCTCACGTCAGAAAGGCTGGTTAGGGATGCTCCCGCCCCAGGGGTGGAGCAAAATGCAGACATGTCCCTCACAGCTAGAAGATACTACCACGGTCAGACTGCCATACAGATCACGGCCCCACTGGTTCAGCTGGGAGCACTTCATGCCTCACCACGAGTGGGCTGCCGTGGCCAGGACCAGAGCAGGCTGACAACTGAACAAATGTGCAGGGGCCCCAGGGAGGCAGAAATGGCCAACAGGGGTTGCACAGGGAACGTGAATTAGCTGCCAACATCTTAATATTATTAAATTTTGTGTACAAGTCTAGGTTGTTTCTTAAAAGAGCAGAATATGAAGCAAACTTAGGCCCACATTCTACTGTGAAAACAGAAACACAGCTGTGTGGAAGAGGCTGTCCTATCAACGGGTGTGCTTTCTGCAGTCTGCCATAGACCTCTACTACTCTCAATTATTCCTGACCTCAGTCATTTCTTAACTGCTTTGCGGTGAACTCTGGGCCAAGATGCCCTCACACCTTGGTTTGCCTGGGACAGTCTCAGTTTAGGCCTGTTGTCCAGATTTAAGTATTAATATCACCTCTCCCTCTAGTCTCAAGTGCCCAGTCTGGACAATATAGTAACATACGGTCACCTAGGCATAATGTACATGCCAATTCCCCACCACACACACACACACATATGCACTGACCACTGAATTCACACAACTACATGTCAAGCACAGAACCCTGTTATAAAGTGATTTTATTAAATTGATTTGGACATACTGTAGGTCAAATAATATTTTCTGAAGATAACAATTATGGACTTTAAAGCTCGACATAAAATTAGTAGCTTCAAAAGGGTTAGTCATATTCCCCAGCAACAGCATGATAAAATAATTCAACTATGTAGAAATATAGAACTCTAGGACTAGCTGGAAACTTGGAAATCATTTAGCCTAATGTCCTCTTTTTGAGAGAAAACTAGACTCAAAGATTAAGCGTTTGCCCAAGCTCACATACCTAATAGTAATAAAGCTAGAAATCAAACCAATTTTTCCTAAAACTAAAATTCTATCAATGATATTTCAACTGGCTCTCTATCAACTAAAAGTCTAGGCTTTTCTCTAATGCTCCACACTATTGTGACATGAAATAGTGATAAGACACTACAGTAAATCGTACTTGTGGAATTCTGGCCTGGAAGGGGCTTCAGCAAATAACTAAGCCGGCCCTCACTTGGTAAAAAGGAGGAAAGTATGTGAAGTGACTTACCAAAGGCTTGTCAGCAGAGATGTCTGGATTAACATCCAGATATTGATAAATTCGTGCCCAAATCCCATCTCTAGTTTCACGGCCCACCCACTAAATCGTGTGCTCCTTTTAAATCTCCTTTATGAGCTGAGGTTTAGTTATACAAAAACCCCTTCCAGTCAAACAGAAGAACTTAATTCAAACATGGAGAGAAAAATCCAGCTTTGTTTCAGTATTCCGTGACTATTCTGAGTTAGTTCACTCTCCAGCCTCTGAGACAGTTGACAGATACCATAAAACCTGATCACCCATTTCAGAGCTTCAAAGATCCTTAATTTCCCCAAAGACTTCCTGAGCAAAAGGACTACATGTGGGAAATCAATGAAAATAGGAATGAGAAGAGAAACAAAGTTAAAACTTGGTTGCTTCTTTTTTTTCCTGTCATTGGGGACTTTTGGTCTTCTAAACATTCCTTGAGTTCCTCCACATGAGTTTTTAATATCAATCTAGCAAAAAAAAAAAAAAAAAAAAAAAAAAGCCCTACGAAAGGATGCTGAGCACCTCAGTATCCCCCTCCCCGCCGCCAATGCCACATGGGCCCTCCTGTCCCCAGGCACACGCCTATGCTCCGCAGCGGGTGCTTGTCATCCTCTGGCCTCAGCTTCGGCGCCACCCCTTGTAAAGGCCTCCCTGACCGCTAGCTACTGCCGCCCCACCCCCGCCCACCCACCACTAAATTCTCACCCTAGTTTATTTTCTTCATAGCACTTAATCACTATTTCAAACTACATTAGTTATTTGTTTACTTATCATCTGTCTCCTCCACCAGAAGTAAACTCCATGAGAGCAGGGACCTCGTCTGTCCTAATCAGTGGTATTCCCAGCACCTAGCACAGTGCCTGGCACATAGGTGGTGTTCAAATAAATACTTGCTGAATGAATGAAGAAAAGAAAAGAATGATGAATTAATAAGACGTTCATGCCTCAAAAGGAAATGATGCGCAGTACTCAGCAAAGGACACTGAGGGCTCCTACACATTATTGCCCATGATTACACAGAGACCAAGTATCCACAGCGACTCCTCCACTGTCCACTCCTCGTAAGGTCTCCCTGGCCAGTGAGAAGCGCCACACGGTACAGAAGAAGCCCGAGGGCAATTCTGGAGGAAAGTTCTCACTTTGCTTGCTTCTTCCTCCCTATATACATTCAGCTATTTCCAAAAAAAAATTCAAGTTAAAAATATGCGATGTAGCCACTAGAAAGTAAGTCTAACATGGAGACACAGTGATTAGCAGAATCCACAAAAATAAAAAAAGTTCAAGGGCATGTATGTCTGCCAATGATTTTTCTGATAGGCCAATGAATGGATGTTATGAGTCACCTAAAATCTAAAGTGAGATTTAATGCCATCTAGGAAGGGGTAGATATTTACGGGCATTTTGAGGACATATAGTAAAGTGGATTCAGAAATGATGGGATTTATGGAAAGATACTTAAGGGATGTATGGAAAGATAAATCAAGTGTAACCTCAGAAATACCAGAACACTATCTTCATGGGAGCTGTCTGTTTTCAAACGCATTACCAGTATGCTGGAATCAAGAGGAAGGGAGAGCATGAGATCCTGAAAGAGGGGTTATCTGGGAAAACTTTTATGTAAAGCATAGATAGAAGGTGACTCAGGATACTAGGCAATGACCATGGTTTTCCATGTAGCATTTCAACTATGGAGGCATTGTGCCAGGATCCCAGAAAACGCACATTCACGGATGGGACCTGACAGCCCGTCTCGGGCAGACACTCAGGGGTCCATATCCAAAGTCAAGCTGTCGAATGCACTTGGCATGAATCAAAAAATCAACCTCACATATGCCTCATTAAAAAGACTGTTCTGTTAGGGATTGCTGTAAATATATCTTGGGTCAATGTAGGTATATACAGGGTTTCCTTCCTAGTGGCACTTATGGGTTTTAAGATTTTTAATTCTTAGCAAAATGTTTTATATAACTGATATTTTGAGATGGTTTCTCTCCTTTGTGTGGACTCTCTGGTGGATGCAGAGGCTTGTACTCTGACTGAAGGCCTTCCCACACTCATCACATTTAAAAGGTTTCTCTCCCGTGTGGACTCTCTGGTGTATGCAGAGGCTTGAACTCTGACTGAAGGCCTTCCCACATCCACAACATCTATAGGGTTTCTCTCCAGTGTGGACTCTCTGGTGGATGCAGAGGCTGGAACTCTGACTGAAGGCTTTCCCACACTCATAACATTTATAGGGCTTCTCTCCTGTGTGGACTCTCTGATGCATGCAGAGGCTGGAAGTGTGCCTGAAGGCCTTGCCACACTCTTCACACTTAAAGGGCTTCTCTCCGGTGTGGACTCTCTGATGCATGCAAAGGTTTGAACTGTTACTAAAGCCCCTTCCACACTCACTACAGACATAGGGTTTCTCTCCTGTGTGAACTCGCATATGGATCTGAAGATGGGAGCTCCAATTGAAGGCTTTGCCACACTCATAACATTTATAGGGCTTCTCCACTGTGTGGATTTTCTTATGTCTATTAAGCTTTGTTGTAGTGCTAAAATCCTTACCACAATCGTCACATTTATACACTTTCTCTCCTGTGTGGTCTCTCCAATGAATGTGCAGTTCCGATATATGAAAGAAACCCTTATCACACTTATCACATTTATGGGGCTTCTCAGCTGTGTGAATTTTCTGATGCATAAAAAGATCTGCTCTCTCAGAGAAAAATTCCCTACACATGGGGCACTTGTAGATCATTTTTCCTATTTGGTATCGTGATTTGGAGGAGAAAATTTCCTTACAACTACTATAGTTACAGAACTGTTACTTCATACAGTCTCTTATTTGGCCATTTTGGCAGTCTATCTCAGGCTTGCTCTGTTAGGAAAGTTTAAGGTCAGCCTAAGCTTCTCCCTGCCTGTCTTTCTATGGAAGGTTTCTTCCTGCATAGTGTTCCTCACTCAGTACTATTATTGATTATAAAGTGACATTTACTTCCACATGAATTCTGCAATTCATTAACGTAGAACTTCGTTTTAGATCCTGAGTTGTCAACATTCCAAGGGGCTCCCAAGGTGAAAACCTTTGCCTTTTTAAGCCCCTGGAATCTTCCTCTTGTACAGTAATCTTGTACTTTTCACTTCTAGAAAAAGGACAGTACAGTGTGTCCCCTGTGTCTGAGGGTGAGATCCCGCTGGTTGGTCCTGAGCCTCTGCAGCTGGGCCCTGAACAGTCAGCACGGCATCCTGCCTCCTGCACATCAGACAGGAACCTCTCCCGGAAGTAGTTTCCTCGGGGGCCAGGTGTGGCGGGCCTTGCTTCAGGGGAGTGCCTACATAGGTATCACGCCAGTGTCCTGTAACAGAAACATAAAAAACTAAATTGAATTTTATCCAGAAAACTGCTATGGATTCCATAATTCCAAATGTGACAGCAATAACACAAACCTTCTCTGATCTTGAGGAAGACGCTCTCTTATCTTCCAGAAAGATGTGTCTCTTGGATTTGCAGGTCTGAAGGAAAGAATTTGTAGATATCATGCTCCTGTTTACAGCCCAAGTATATAATCCAATTATAACCACTCACTGAAATTATCTGAACAACATCAAGGGTAATATTATTGAAAGAGAAAAGAAATCCTCAAAAGACCCACACGTGAGTATGAAAAGCAGCTGGCCTGCACAAGGAACAAGGAAATTATCTCCACTTTGAACTTCTGAAGGCACAATGTTGCTACTTTTGGAGATAAAACATCATACTTCAGTTGCCTTCTTGTGTATAGAAAGAATGAGTACATGACATGTCATTATCAAATGTTATTCCTCTGCTCAATAGTCCTCAATGGTTTCCTGATGTACTTAAAATAAAATCCACATCCTTAACTGAAAAACCAAGGCCCTGCATAACCTGGTCCCCTCTCTCCCACTTCGCCCACTGTGCTTTTTGCCACTGGCTTTTATCTTCTGTTCTCAAACCACCCAAGCTGTTTCCTGCCACAGGGCCTCTGTACATGCTGTTCCCCCGGCACTTAAACTACTCCCCAGTTTTGTACGGGGCTTTGCATGTCAGCTGCCCCTCCCTTACCTAAAGAAGGCCCCTGGTTAGATTCTATTTTAATCTTTGATTTCTTCAAAGCAAATACAACTTGTAATTATCTTATTTGCTCTTGGTTTTTCACCTGTCTCCTGCATGAGGATGTAAGAGCCTCGAGGGAGGGACTTCATGTGCTGTTCCTCCCTCTGATACTCTGGCAGAGAGGGGTGTTCAGTTAACACTGCTGAGCGTGTCCACACAGTACCGTAGGACACCTGCTCTCACCCCACAGACATACACCCTCTTCACTCTGGAAGAGCAGATACAAGTACGTTTCCCAGCACCTTATTTCCTGCTTTTTGATAACCTACAGGGGACAAAATAGACAACAAATAGAATGAAAAGGAGATAAAAGAAGAAAAGAAATCCCAAAATATCCAATCTGAAACTTTGAGGTTTAGGACCATGTCTCTGCCACCTTCTCAATTCTTGTATTCTATACACAGTGATACTTTATTAACTAAATGAAACCAATAGATCTTCTTAAAGTAACACTTTCGATAATACTTTCCATGCAAAGATAGCAAGCATGGGTGACTGCAGAGATTTAACATTAAAGTGGCCAAATAAATTGGACTGCTTCTACGTAGAAATGTTAGAATTATGAAATTCAACTAGATATCTAAAATTTCAGCAAAAACAGTCATATGTCTAGAAATCTTATATATATGTATTTTTATATGTATATGTATGTATATGTATCTGTTCTTGGTCCCAGTAACAATAATTCTAGACACCTATCCCAAAGATACACTGGCAAAAATAGGAAAGGAGCTATGTACCAGGTTATCCACTGAAGCAGCTGCCTGCCACAGCCAAGCTGTGAGGCCCACCCCCTGCGGACTACCTGAATCAACTGGGATGCTTCCTCACAAGGAAACACCGTAGGCATTAAAAACAAAGAAGGCTGAGGAAGAGCACTGGACACTGATACGGAGTAAATCGAGGTCATATCGTTAAGTAAAAAGAAAGCAAGGTACAGAATACTATATATTATTTTTCTTTTTCTCTGAATCTGCTTCTTAAGGAACAGAATAGTATATATTTTGTGCCACTTTTTGTGCAAAAATGGAAAGGAATATGAATGTAGTCATATCATATTTATATGTACAAAAAACATGGTGAAAGATAATCCAAAATTTAATTTAATGATTACCTATAGGGGAGGAAGGAGACAAGAATGAATTTAGACTTTTCTCTTAATAAACTTTGTTATACAGTTTTGACTTGGGAAACATAAATGTTTATATCGTCAAAAAATAAAATTAAATAAAAAGAAAAACAAATCCCTAAAATTTTAAAACAAAGGAGAACGAACCTTAACTTTCATGTTAGTGACCTATCCACAAATGGCTTTTGAACACAGTATACTGATTGTACATACACAGAACACCACATTCTACTGACAAATACAGCTGCAAAGAAATCAAACTTCTTCCAACAGTTTAACTGTTAGTTATAACACGGGCATGATTTTATAAAGTAGGATAACGTAAATAATAATGTATGCTAATGTCGTTAGGAACCAAGATTCAATGTAAGAAAAATAAGATGTAAGTATAAAACCAAAGTTAAGAAAAAAAACTCTGTAAGATAAAATTTCATTTTGAATTTGAAAATTTCAGTTTTAATTCATTTCTTTTAAAGCTCTGTCACCAAAAAGGCCTCAAAACAATAAGCACAGATAGCAATGAGCACATCTAGATCCCCCTGCCCTTAAATGCCCTTCCCCTCTTGGAGGGCAAGGGATCCTCGATAAACGCTGGCTTCAAAGCCAGAGCAGCACCTACAAAATGGGACATCTTGCTATGCCAGAAAGCAAGAGCCACATGCCCAAGCAACACAGAGCCAATTGATGCAACTGAGCATTAAAGGGAATAAAAAATGCAATCAACTGAGACACATTAAATATACAAACCCCAGCATTCATAACCATTGTAAGGGATGGGGAGACAGACAGAGGCAGAGCTAGGGAGACCCAAGGCACTGGACAAAACTGCAAGTAACTAGGGTGCCAACTTTTTACCCTGCAAATTGGCAACTGAAATAATCAGCATCTATACTAGGTTTCCTCTATGAACTATCCGTCAAGACAATGAAACAGCCCAGCTAATGCACGGCACCCATCACGACACACCGATTCAGACCGTGATAAGCGATGTGTGAAAACGGGAGCTGGAAGGCTGATCCAGACCCGGACACTGCCAGGCCGTCATTACCTGAACTACTGGTCAATCTCAGCGTGACTCAAAGAGGAACAGACACACACAGGTGACGCCGTGGGAAACACACAGAACTACCTGGAGACATTCTTACCAAGAGACTGAACCAGAATGTAATCAAGCCTCTGGAGCTAATTTTTACTTGAAGGAATAGAGGAACTACCAAGAAGCAAGCAGCAAAATATCAAAAAGTAGGAAAGGCAAGCCTGTCTATGGGACAACTGCCCTAGTTTTGGCAAGAAGGAAAGGGAATGGAAAAAAGGGGAGTGCTCTGGAGACGGGAGACAGAACAAGCAAATGTAACAGGAAGACCTTCTTTGGAATCTGATGCAAATAAACCAATCACTAAAAGGAGACAGAAGGCTGAGGAAATGTGATTAGGGGCAGGCATCAGGGACTGAAGGGGTATCAGATTACAAAGGCATATTGTTAACTGCCTGATAATGTCACTGTAGCCATAGAAACCAATGTCTACAGCTTTAGAGAGACATGCTTAAGTACACAGGAGTGAAATGACATAATGTCTCACGTGTCTTAAAATGCTTCAGCAAACAAACAAAAAAAGGAAATAAAAAAGGACAAGGCAAATGTGGCAAAATCACTGTAACTGCTGAATCTGGGTGAGAAATAAACGGATGAATAGAACAGCCTTTCCACCTGTGAGTACAGCTGAAATTTTTCACAATAAAAAGTTCGTTAATGCTGAGCAGACATTCTTTTCCTGCTCCTCTTTCCACGGCAAGCTGCCCCCAGTACCAGGCACGCGTACAGAGAGTGCCATCCCCCGACAGCCAGCAGCTCCCCGGCCAGTCCTGGGCAGGGAAGGACAACAGACAGCCGCTGTCTCTGGAGAGCAGGGTGGGCAGTGGCTGTGGGGCCCAGAGAGCAGAAGACAGGGAGAGTCAGCCTGGTCCTTCCGCAGAGCTAACTCCACAGGTGTCTTCCAGAGCCCTCACCGCCGGGAAGTGAGCAGCCAGGGGCAGGGCACTCATCCAGACTTGGGAGGGGACTCTGCTCCGGAGGGTGACAGGAGGGTGACAGCGTGACGCCAAGCTCAGCGATGGGATACCCACATGACCTCCCGCCGGAGTTCCTCCTGAGGAGGATCGGGCACTGCCACTCCTTCCAGGTACCAATGTGGGAGGCCTCTACAAGCCCGCCGGGTGGGCGTGGGAGGGGTAACCTACATTCTGCGGGAAGAAGAAAGAAAAGAAAGATAAAGCAAAAGAAACCCCAGCAAATTTTCCATGTGACCAAGCAAAGAACAGAAAGGCAGACAGACACAAAGGATACCACCGCAGCCTCACCTCACAGGGCACCTGCCAGGGGCTTCCGCACAGATAAAAGGCTGGAAACTCGGGCTCTGCAGCAAGCTACAAAGTCCTACAGCCCCGCATGCAGCGTTCCCAAGACTGACTCTCACGCAAGACTCATTCTGCATCTCACGTTCAACATCCCACAGGGCTTCCAAGGGGACATCCGTGGGACTGGGAGCCACCCTTCTGACTGATGAAGCTGACGCTGCAACGCTCAGACTCTGTACCTGCGACCTCAGGGGCAGGCCCAGCAGTCAGCACAAGACTCACAAGTCAGGAGTTCAGGACTGAGAGAATAAGCGCTTACAATCTAGCCCATCTGCCTCACATCTCCACTTTCCACGAAATAGAGCCTTTCCTCTCTCCCTGTAGCTAGTCGGCCCTGTGACACCACGGAATGTCTGAATTAGCACCCACCTCTCCACACAGTTAAAACTAAGGGACTAATGAAAAGCTGACGCTGAGATTTAAGGAAGTAAAAAGCTGAGTATGAGGAAACTGTGTCCTGGAGAACAAATGCTGGGGCCATGGCACTGGACATGCACCTAGAGATGGGGACAGAGCATGACCCGGTTGGGAGGAAGCTCCTTTCCCTTGAGGCCTGCTCAGGCCAAATGCTGCTACGCCCAGAGGCAGAACTTCCAGGACTGGGCCCTGGCTGTAGCAGCCTGCTGCTGCTGACTGGACTCCTTTGGGGGCAGGAGCCACTCTGGTCACACACCAGGGGGCAAAGGTCAAGAGGAAGGTACAGAGTGAGGGCACAGATGTTCTGACCCCCAACTTCAGCCTGTCTGCTGTAGAAACTGAAGGTAGCAGCCCGTCTGCCCTGGGAAGAAGCTCGGAAGCTGTGCTGCAGGAGAGGGGATTGTATGTCGACATAGG